AGCATTTCAGCCTGAGTGCAGAGCAAGACCCGTCTCTTTAAAGAACAAAAAAACAAAACAAAAAAACTTTCAATTTTATTTCCTCAGCACCGCTTTCTTATGAAGCCCGGAAAGAGGATGTGTGTTATCAAGAATTAATAGAACAAGGAGAGGTAGCTAGCCGTGTGCCAGTGGCTCAACGCCTGTAATCCAGCACTTTGGGATGGCTTGAGCGCGGCAATCACAAGGTCAGGGAGTTTAAGGACCAGCCTGGCCAACAACAGTGAAACCCCGTTCTCTACTAAAAAAATACAAAAAAAAAAAAATTAGCTGGGCATGGTGGCGGGTACCTGTAGTCCCAGCTACTTGGGAGGCTGAAGCAGGAGAATCACTTGAACTTGGGAGGCAGAGGTTGCAGTGAGCTGAGATTGCGCCCCTGCATTCCAGCCTGGGCGACACAGCGAGAGTCTGTCTCAAAAAAAATAAAAAGAAAGGAATATCTGGGATCCAGGAAACCAGAGATCCAGCACAGGAAAGAAACAAAGGGAATCCCTAGTATAATAATAAAGTTAGGAGATCCTGGGATCTGTACACCAATAGAAGAGAGCAGCTTGTTCAAAACAGAGCTGCAAGAGCAGCTCTTTGGTGTTTTCCTGTTTAACATTGTGGTTTATCCTTGATTTTTTATAATTACAAAATAAGCATATTTCTTTTTTTCATTTTTCTTTTTGTCTTTTCTTTTTCTTTTTTTTTTTTTTTTTTTGAGATGGAGTCTTGCTCTGTCATCCAGGCTAGAGTGCAGTGGTGCAATCTTGGCTCACTGCAACTGCTGTTTCCCGGGTTCAAGCGATTCTCCTGTCTCAGCCCCCGGAGCAGCTGGGATTACAGGCACCTGTCACTACACCCAGCTAATTTTTGGATATTTAATAGAGATGGATTTTTGCCACGTTGCCCAGGCTGGTCTCAAACTCCTGACCTCAAGTGATCCACCCGCCTAGGCCTCACAAAGTCTGGGGATTACAGGCGTGAGCCATCGGCTCTTTTGAAATATGCAACTTCCTCTACTCCCTATAAACTAAGCTTTACCAGCTTCCTTGGCACTTAGATAGGGAACAGGCAGTTACACCATTTACCTAATATTATGTTCAGCTCTGCTGCTCCTCATTACATTGGCCTCTTTGGGCTTACACTGTTTTTAGCATACCTTTTGCAAACCAAATTAACAATACTTTCCTAACACAACAGATGTCCACATATTTATGAGTTGTCTCACTTGCTAGAGGTAATGTAGTAAAAACATGTTTGGCCTAACCTGGGTGACTTGCAGACACCATGACCCGGGGAGGAGTGCAGAATGCTAAGATAAGAAAAGTTTGCTCTGATAAGGCACATGGAGACTCCTGTTCCAAGATATTTAATGGGCAGACCCCCATGGTTCTCATTCTTCCAGTATTTCCACAGATCTTATATGTGTAGAAGGCCTAAATGCCAGAAGATAATATATTTTCTCTTTCAAAAAATTCATCTAAAGTTGTCTAAATTAAAATGTTTAGGGAGTTTTTAGAAATGTTCAGGACCAAGTAAGGACTTAAGACTTAGAATGACACATGAGTTAAAGTACTGTTTCCTTTGGTACACAGCTCTAATTTCTCCTCACAGTGACATTTTGAGAAATGAAACTAATAACCCAAATTATTGAGACTGCTAAAAGGGATATTACCAGGTCTGAATGTCAAAACAGTCCTTCACCTTAGTCTTTCTTGTGAGTAATGCTATAAGATATTAATTGGTCTTGTTTGGTATAGCCAGAGTAATGAGCGATTAAGTGATTAAAGCAAAATAAATGTCTGTTTGAAGTATGCAAAGATAAAGGCTTTATTTATTTAATTTTGTTTTTTTGGAGACAGAGTGTTTCGACTTGGTTGTCTAGGCTGGGGGTTCAGTGGCATGATCGTTGGCTGCATATAACTCCGGGCTCGCCCAGGTTGCAACGCAATTCTCGTGCCTCAGCCTCCTGAGTAAGCCGTGGATTATGGGCGCCCGCGCACGCCATGCCCAGCTGGTTTTTGTATTTTAGTGAGAGAGTGGGGTTTCACCATCTTGCAGCTGTGTCGCGAAGCCTCCTGAGCTCAGGCAATCCACCTGTCTTGACCTCCAAAGTGCTAGGATTATAGCCCCACAAGCCACCATGCCCAGCCCACAAATAAAGCTTTTTATAATGAAGCTTATTTTTTATTATCTTTTATAAGGAAGTTATACTAAAATTTATTTATTTAGCTTATTTGTTTATTTATTTTTTTTTGAGACGAAGTCTTGCTGTGTCACTAGGCTGGAGTTGCGGTGGCGTGAATCTCTGCTCACTGCAAGCTCTGCCTCCCAGGTTCACACCATTCTCCTGCCTCAGCCTCCTGAGTGACTGGGACTACAGGCGTGCGCCACACGCCAGCTAATTTTTTGTATTTGTAGTAGGAGATGGGGTTTCCCGTGTTAGTCAGGATGATCGTCGATCTCCGGGGACCCTCGTGACCCGCCCGCCTCAGCCTCCCAAAGCTGTGGATTAACAGGCGTGACACCACATCCAGCCATGAAGTTAATGTACTAAAAATATTAAAATAAAAAAACATAACAGCCAGATCACTTGGGGTCAGGAGTTCAAGAACCAGGTCTGGCCAATATGGTGACAACCGTCTCTAGGTAAAAAATACAAAAATTAGCCAGACGTGGTGGTGCATGCCTGTAGTCCCAGCTACTCAGGAGCCTGAGGCAGGAGAATCGCTTGAGCTCAGGAGGCAGAGGTTGCAGTGAGCCAAGATCACACCACTGCACTGCAGCCTGGACGACAGAGTGAGATTCCATCTCAAAAAAAGAAAAAAAACCCATAAAGTTAATATTGTTTAAAAGGTCAGTAATTTTTTACATTTATAAGTTTCTTTATAATTATTTAAATTTGTTTTCTAAACATCATTGTATTTAATTCCCTTCATATTTATGAAGTTGATAGGATCATGGTCATTTGCCTTGTCTTATAGAATTAGAAAACAGGGCTCACAGAGGATGTTAATGGTAGAACAAGGCCTGGAATCCAACTCTTCTGTCACTTACATGGTATTTGTTCCACTGCCTGCAGTTCAGTAGTTTGACAAACCAGACCTCCAACCTGAAATAATTAATCAGATGCTGTGAAGGCTCAGATGTGTAGCCTTTAAGTCTTAGGTATGTTTTTGGTACAATTAAGTTTAAAAGTAGAGAATGGAAGCTCTGTTTATGTCTCATTCATTTGAGACCAGATGCTCATTGATACAGACAGGATGTCTAGTCTGTAAAATGAGGATAACCTCTTATTCCTTAGATTGCCCAAGGACAGTGCTTATGGCCTAAATGGCAATTTGTAGCGAGGAGAAATTAGGAAGTATAAGCCATGAGAGACGCTGTGAGCAGGCCCCATGACCAAGAGTCACCAGGTAATCCTCAGTGGTGATGCTTACTAATGTTTCCTTCGTGTGAGTAGAAGCCAAGACATTTTATTTAACATCTTGTCTAGTTCCTGAACTGTCCACTAGAAACTTACTATGTTTTCTCCTGTAACTCTTGTGCTCACAGAATGAGCTTACCAGCATTATCACTGGTGTGCAACCAGAATATGTCCACAAGAAGCAAATGAAGCACTGAGGAAATTAACAGGATAGCATTAGAGTGAGGAGCTGTGGTTTTCCAATCCATATACCATCTTTCCTCAACTTTTTGGTTTTGCTGGTTTTCTCCCAACTTTTTGTATTGAAAATATCAACTCTACAGAGAAATCGGGAAGGAAATGCAATCAACTCTTGTGTACAACTGTTGTGTATCTTTAACCTCGCTGAACGAATTATTAAGATTTTGCCATATTTGCTTTAAATCTGTGAGTTAGCCGGGCGTGGTGGCTCATGCCTGTAATCCCAGCACTTTGGGAGGCCGAGGCAGGCGGATCACGAGGTCAGGAGATCGAGACCATCCCTGGCTAACACGGCGAAAACCCCCCGTCTCTGCTGAGAAAATCACAAGAATTTAGCCGGGCGTGGTGGTGCGTGCCTGTAGGTCCAGCTACTCGGAGGCTGAGGCAGGGAATGGCGTGAAGCCAGGAGGAGAGCTTGCATGTGAGCCGAGATGGTGCCCCTGCACTCCATAGGGCGACAAAGTGAGACTTCCGTCTCAAAAAAAAAAAAAAAAAAAAAAAAATAGATATATATTATCATATTATATATATATATAAATCTGTGAGTGAAAGTGTGTTTTGTGGTTGGCTTGCTAAACCATATGAAGAGTAATTGCAGACATCATTACATCTTATCCCAAAATACTACAGCCTATGTCTTTCTAAGAACAAAGACATTCTAAGAAAGTTTATTTCATAATATCTAAGATCCAGTTCATATCACATTCCACCTAATTCCAGTTGTCCCCAGAATTAATATTGTAGTGTCCAGGATTTAATCAAGGTTCATGCCTCGCATTAAGTAATACAATTTGCCTCATCAGTCTTTTACAATGTCTTAGTCTTTTTCAATACACTTTAATCTTTAAGTCTCCCTGTGTTTAAATAAATAAAAGTCTTTTATAAAGATTCAGCTGGAGGCTGGGCACAGTGGCTCATGCCTGTAATCCCAGCACTTCGGGAGCCTGAGGTGGGTGGATAACCTGAGGTCAGGAGTTCAAGACTAGCCTGGCCAACGTCGTGAAACCCCGTCTCTACTAAAAAAAAATACAAACAATTAGCCAGGCATGGTAGCACATGCCTGTAATCTCAGCTACTTGGGAGACTGAGGCAGGAGAACTGCTTGAATCTGGGAGGCAGAGGTTGCAGTGAGCCAAGATCGTGCCACTACACTCCAGCCTGGGCGGCACAGCAAGACTCTCTCTCCAAAAAAAAAAAAAAAAAGTGTTATTAATGAGAACAATAATTATTTCTTGTTTAGAAATAATGGTGGATATAGATTGCTAGTAAGTAATTTTCACCCTATCTGTCCCAAAGGCTACATGTACTAAATATTTCCTCCCACCCTCCTCTTTATGACTATTCAGGAAATTTTTGTGGATTAACTGCTGGTGAGGACCCCTGAGCTAGAGGCAGATAAGAATAAACAGTTACGGAGAGAGAGGAACAGTAAGATGACCACTTATTGAGCTGTTACTATGTGTCATGGCACTGGGCTAAGCACTTGCTGTGGGTTGTCTGCACAGTAAACACCATTAGGTAAGCAGCATTATTCTCCCATTTTACAGATTAGGAATCTTAGGCATAGACTGAGGATCTTGCCCAAGGACCCACAGCAAATAAGTGGTGGAGCTGGGGTTCAAACTTAGGGCTCATGAAGGCAATTTCTACACTATGCTGCTTCCCTTATTTCTACTAGGTATTATACTAGACAGTCTCATACATTTTCTTGTATAATTCTCTCATCAACCTATAAGAAACAATCTCAAATAGATGGAAGTACTTATCCAAGGGCGTATGATATCCAAATTGTTTATCCTATTTTGTGTTCTCTCCCATGTTTCAGCCAAGGTCTTTAACAAGCAGAGTGTTTTGTCCAGCAGTGAGGCCCCTTTTCCCACTTCCCAGCACCCACATAAACAGGAATCATGTGCTGGAAATGCAACCAGGTGGCAGAAGCAGCTACACATGCAAGAGAAGCCTGATCGGGTCCACATTAACCAGATGACAGGAGTGAGAGCCTTCACTTACATTTCGGGGACCATCAGTGAGAAGTGGGATGACAGTGAACCTGAAATAAAGATCGTTGAAATAAGACTGGCTTTCCAAGGGAGAATGTTCTTTTACCATCTTCCCTCTTGCCGGAGAGGATGTGACAGTCTTGTTATTTGTGTAACTTCGAACCAATGCTCAAAGCCATGAGGAAATTTCTGAAGGAAAGTGTGATTGTTTATAGTTTCTGGTACCCACTGTTGACTTCCTTTTTTGAACTTTTTCTTTCAACATCATCACTAAGTCTATATAATTATAGCATCATAAACTGAGAGAAGTAGACTTCACCCATCACATTCAAGGGAGCCAGGTGATTTTACCTTTAGAAGTCAGCCATGCAGTTATTTTTAACTTAGTAAAGTAATGTGTGTGTTTTTGCAATATGAAAGAATCTGTGTGTTTAGAACAAATTTTCCTCACGGAAATTCACCGATATTAACTCTAAACCTTGGTTAAGTCATTTGTTAGTGTTTCCATCTGTCAAAAGACCTATTTCATAAGATTTTTTTAGGATTTAAATTTACACACACAGTGTAGCAGAGTGCCAGACACAGAGTAGAGGCACTCAGTATGGAAGTTATTATCATCATTATATGATTACATCATTGATTTTAGTGTTCTCACATGATATGGGCCTGGGAACCTTCCCTAAACTGATCCCTTAAGCCAGGAAAACAAACATTCCAGACACTGCCTGTTTAGTGACCCTGTCTGGCGCTGGCAAGAGATTTCTGATGCCATGTTGCCTGTCACACACTATGTCTTTCTGTTTCAGGTGGTTAGCTCAACCAATGGAGAGCTGAATGTTGATGATCCCACAGGAGCCCACTCCAATGCACCAATCACAGCTCATGCCGAGGTGGAGGTAGTGGAGGAAGCTAAGTACGTACATCTTCCAAGGGGGCTCTTAAGTTATGGGTTGAAAAACCTTTTCTGTCTCTTCCTCTCTGTGTGCTGCTCATCTCAGACTGGATTTCTCATGCTTGTAACCACAGCTTTCTTCCTTAACTGTTTTAATTTTTGCATGGTACTTTAAGGCTGCTACTGCCCTTCTTCAGCTGTGATTTCGGGGAAGACAGTCACATTTTTCTAGTTCACATGAAAAAGACATAGTGAACCGAAAGAATCATGTTATCAGGGCTACAATAGATAGTAGCCATGAGCTTCTTGGGGCTGTGGAGCTTCTTGCTCTGTATGGGATATAGAGAAAAATCTGCTGTTAAACCATGGGCCATGCTGAATAGCATTTGATTTCTGATTGTGGGCTAACAACTGGATGTATAATCATGGAACAAGGAGTTCAGGGCCATTTTGTTCACTCTCAAATGATTCTGGCTTCAGGGAGACTAAGTCAGGCAAGAAAAATATTATAGTCTGCATCTGTGAATGAGAGTGTGGGAAAAGAATGAAGTCATACTCATCTCAGGAGGGTAAGGAGGTTGCCCCACGCCCTTTTCTGCTTCTCTTGCATGTGTGTGTCTTGCCCCACCCATACCACCAGCCCCTTGGTGCGCTGCATGGTCTGTGTTTAAACTCTTAAAATCTGGGGTGGAAGGTGAGATAACTGTCAATTCTGCTGCAAAAGCAGCATTTCTACCACTTTTTCCCCTTTTTTCCCCATCCCAAATTTAGATCCAGATTTAGACTTCAAGAAGATACCAGGTAGGGAGAGATAGAGACACCATGAGTCAGTAACTGCTGCTATCCCTGATATGGAGGACCTTTCTTGTGAGCCCTCTGAGAACCTGCAGGATATCCCAGTGTCTTGTTTTCTGAAGCAGACAATGTATTTATAGTGATATTGTACCTAAGTAGTATCATGAGCCCCCAAGTAGCTTAATACAAGCCAGAACACTCTTATACCTCTAAATGTAAGTTAGTGAGATGCCACTAAGACCTAAATTCTTCCACCTTCCAGATGCACTGTGTATTGTTGTCTTTCCTGCCTATTCCCCTGGTCTCCTGCCCATCTTTTTTATTTATTTGTTTTTTGAGACAGGGTCTCTCTCTATTGCCAAAGCTGGAGTGTACTGGCATGATCATGGCTCACTGCAGCCTCTATTCCCCAAGCTTAAATGATCCTCCTGCCTCAGTCTCCCAAAGTCCTGAAATTACAGGTATGAACCACCATGCCCAGCCCTGACAATCTATTTGATAAACTCACTTTACTTTCAAGAAGTCCTTTCCCACCAGGTGTGGTGATTCATGCCTGTAATCTTAGCACTTTGGGAGGCTGAGGCAGGAGGATCACTTGAGTCTAGGGGTTTGAGACCAGCCTGGGCAACATAATGAGACCCCATTTCTATAAAAAAATTGGAAATTAGCTGGGCATAGTGGCATGCACCTGTAGTTCCAGGTACTTGGAAGGTTGAGGCTGCAGTGAGCTATGGTCATGTTACTGTACTCCAACCTGGGTGACAGGTGAGACCCTGTCTCTCACACACACACACACACACACACACACACGTTTTTGGCCAGGTGCGGTGGCTCACGTGTGTAATCCCAGCACTTTGGGAGGCTGAGGCAGGAGGATCATGAGGTCAAGAGATTGAGACCATGCTGGCCAACATGGTGAAACCCCATCTCTACTAAAAATACAAAAATTACCTGGGTGTGGTGGCACGCACCTGTAGTCCCAGCTACTCGGGAGGCTGAGGCAGGAGAATCACTTGAACCTGGGAGGCAGAGGTTGTGGTGAGCTGAGATCGCGCCACTGCACTCCAGCCTGGCAACAGAGCGAGACACCGTCTCAAAAAAAAAAAAAAAAAAAAAGTTTTTGCTTGGAAAACCAGGACTTAAGGATTCCTACCCAATAGATCAAAAGTAAATGAGGATGATTTGACTGTCTCTTGTTGAACCCCTGCTAACTATAGGCAGCTTCAGAGCTCTTCTCCCAGCTTGCGTAAGGCACTGATATGTAAGGGGGTGAGGGTTATGCTGGTTATGCCAGGAAAAGACCATTTTAGTAAGGAAACATGCTCTCTATTCTCAGGGACTTTGGAGATATTAATGGTACTTACATTTTTTCAATTTCCATACAAAGCTACATTCTCTTAAATAAACAATATGTTACTCCCAACCTCTTGGCTCTCAACTGGCTGCACTTTGGAGTCATCTGGGGCGTGTTAGAAAATACAAATGTCTGAGTCTGGCCTTAGGCATTCTGATTTAATTGATTGAAATGTGGCCTGAGCATCAATAATTTTAAAAGTTCAGGTCATTCTAACGTGTAGCCAATGTTCAGAACCACTGTACTAAGCATGGTCTGATCCAAACATTGTCAGAGCTTGAAGGATGGCCGTACCTTTTCTCAGCTCCCACCCCATTCTCAATTCACCTTTGTGGCTGTTACTTTGAAGGCGAGAAGTTTAACTTTGGATTTAATAGTATACTTTGAATGCAGTAATCAAATGGGCTTTAGTTTTATGTTATGCCCTATATAGGTTTATCTTTTGAACCCATTCATCTCATCTCATTTTGGTAAATGTGTATACTAATTGTGTATGTGAGTGTGGTATTTGTGTTCTGTGTGTAAGATATGGGCTCATTCACACAGAGATTTCAATTTGGTGTATTCCGTATTGGTATAATTTAACATCTAGAATGTAAGGAGAGTTTAAAGTCTTGTCATTTAGCGAAAAGGACAAGTGTGCCTCTTTGCCACCAGCTTCAGGTTTGGATCTTCTAAAAGATGTAGAAAGCATAGAGGAGCAATTATATTTGACCAGATGTCATCCCAAAGCTCCTGGCTTAGGGCATTTAGTGATTTCATGGGCTACCAATCCATCTTGCCCAGAGAACTGTCAGGGTCCAGCCATGTGTTGTTTTTCTTGGCCTTTGTGTGTGGAGGCAAGGAAATAGCCCTGTGTCCACCTGGTTGATCATTTTCATGGGAAGAAGTCACAGCTAGAGAAGCACGAGGTGTTCCAAACAGCCCTGCATTGCACGCAGCTGTGATGCCATTTGTTCATGCAGCCTGCTTGTGGGGTAGAGGGGGCTGATGCTTATATTGAGACGCACCTCAGTACTGGGGAGACTGTGTGAAACCTTCACTTTCAGGCTTTTGATTTTGGGTTCCTCACCCAGCTTGTTTAGTGTAAAGGTCGAAAGAAATAACGGTCTTAGGTTTTGTTCTATGTACAAATTGAACATGTGAATTCCCTTTTTCTCTAGCTCCAGGACTTATGTCCTTGTTTATGGTTTAAAGGGTGGATGAGGACAGGCAGCTTTTTGGTTGATTTTTGTTACAGTAAGAATACAGGAATTTTTGGTTATCCAGACTTTAGCTATAATTTAACAAATGTGAACCTCATTTCTCCTGAGCATTAACAAGAGTAGAATTTAGGTCCTTCTCTGGTAGTTATACCTTAATACAGAGCAGTGACCCTCCTCCCTCTGATTCATCTTCTAATAAGATAAAGTAAGTGTCACTTAAACCTTTTCTCCCTCTCTAGAGGAAGAGCTAACTGCTAGCTGCTTTGATCAGGCATGTTGGACTTGTACAAAGGCTAGGGACTTTATTTTTCCCTCAGAATATTTGGGAGGCTAGCTTAATATTGCACAGTGAGACTTCATGTGGGAACCAAAATGGTCCACCCCTGGTGCTTGATTGAGTTCTTACCGGCAGGGTCATTTGTTCTTTCCCCTGCTGCCTTCCTGGAAGTTACCCAGGAAAGCCCACCCTGGAGCTCCCACCAACTCTTTCTGTTTTGCCTTACGCCTGAGATCCAAATCCCACCTTGATGCTTCTGTCAGGCTCCTGTCTGAACCTCCACTTCAACGTGGGGACCAAGTGGCCTGGGCCTACTCACCCTACCTTGACAGAAGAAGAAACTAAACACAGACACATACTGCATGTTTGCATGGCTCACAGGGAGTCGCTTCCATTTCACCTCTGTGGACTAATATCTCTCTCTTTCTCTCTCTTCCTTTCTGTGTTTTTCTCTTTATATACTCTGTAGCTGCCTGAAAATGCTCAACCTGTGGTGAGTCCCTCTCTCCAGTCCATTGCAAGGGGAGTGGACCAGACTAGGCTGGGATTGGCAAAGCCAAACAAAATGTCTTAGGAACATTAAATAACTTCCATAGGACTCCTTGTGCCATAACCACCCTGACTGGGGATCTAGATCCATAAGGTGGGGATGGGGCAGGCCTGTACCCAGGAATTAATCTATTCCTTCTTTCAAACCCACCTTATCACTGTCTCCTCCTGCCATAACAGTATCCCACATATCCAAAATTATCTGTTTTTAGCTGAGTGAATTTTCTCCCAAATTAATACAACCAGATATGGAGAGGGACAGAGGTAAAAGGGCAAGATTACTGTATCAGTTTTTACTTAGCAGTTGTGTTTGCTCACAGCCACAAGGATAGTGAGCTGTTGCTGGATAATCTCACATTCTGCAGTGTGGTCTCTAACCTGGAAATTGGCTGCTTTGGGAAAATCTGACTTTTTTTGATTCAGCTGGCTCTTCCATCTGTAGAGTAGGAACCTCAAAAAAGGGGGAGCTCCTTCAGGGAGAGGTGGATGTTTTTTTGTTGTTTTGAGAGTTGTTTTGTTTTTGTTTATTGTCTTTTTCTTTATTCCTATGTGAGAGTTTAGTAGGCCAAGGGCTGACTCAGCTAATTGATATATTGGAGCCTGTCTGTTCCATTCCTGGAAAAGGTTCCTGGAATGTATTTTTAGGAATAACATGGAGTTTATGGAAGGAGAAGCCCTCAAGAATCCATGTGTGGTGAGGAACATTCTTGCTACAAGACATAGCCCCTTCCCCTGCTCTCTAGCCTATGACCTTCCAGGTACTCCTGAACTTGTTGGTCTGTTGCAGTCTGGAATTGTAACTCTCCCGCATTGTCCGCATGCATAAAGTCATGTTCTACATGGAGGTAACAGCCTGCTAGTTTCATGACTGCCATGTTTGTGTGTCTTCAGTGACTGGGTTGGGCACTGGTTTCTGAACCCTAACTGTCTAAGCCAGATTGCCTACAGGGGCTTCCTTAGAGACAGGAATATATTAAAGAAAACAACTGGGTTTTGTGGAGGTCAGATTTATAGTCTTAGGGGATCAAAGAATACCTTTGGCTATTTGTTTTGCAAATATGTGTCTGTGTAATCTGACATTGTGGTGGTCTATTTTTTCCTGTGAGGTGTCAGTCACATGATCCTTACTGCAGATATTTGAGGGCCTCCTATATGCTTATCTAACCCTGTGCTTGGAACTCTAGCGGGGTGGCGGGGCGGGTTGCAAAATTTGCCCCAAAGAGCTTGGGTACCATCTAGCTGAAGAGATCAGAATTACACATGAAAGGACAAGGCGTTTTCCAGGACATTTAGATTATTGCCCTTGAGAGACTGAGGGGCCAGGAAGTCACCATGGACAGGATAGTCAAATAAGTCCTTGTAAACACTGTAGGACTTGAGTCAAGTATTAGAAGAAAGGAAGAATATACACGTATGGCAGAGAAAAGGAACATAGCAAGGGAATAGCTGAAGAGAGAGGGCCATGACATAGTAAGAATGCTGTATGGAAAAGGTAGTGGGTCAGAGGCCTGGGGTAAGAGCACTAGATGGCTTGAGAGTAGGGAGATTTGGATCGATTTTGACTCCAGCATGTTGAGAACTTCTAGTCATCTAAACAGTCAATCAACTGGAAGAAAACCTAAGCCATGAGGGGTCCATCACCTGCCTTCATTCTCTTCTGAGAGGAGCACATCTGAAAGTCAGTCAGTGGACTTGGTCTAGAGTCAGACCCAGTTTAATAGATCCTGTTGCCAGTAGTCACCACAGACACCAAAGAGCTGAAGAGCAGATTGTGAGGCCTGCTTTTTTGTAGGTAGAATCATTAAAAGCCTTTGCCACTGCTGAAGCTTTAACTACAATAACTAGCAAAGATAAATCCAGGATTCTAAATTTGAAATATTCCAACTCCTTTGAACCATAGCTCACACTCCCTTTTAGTCAGGTGGGTTCAGCATTACACATCCAGTTATGATACGCTTGTAAGCAGACATTAATTCTTATGGCTTGCCTTGGAGGAGGTAAAAGAGAAGTCATTGTACAGTTTGAAATGGACCTAAACAGTATTTTAAACTTTTTTTATTGCTTTCTTAAAAACACAAAATCATCATCTTTGCATCCTCCCAAAAGATTAAGAATAGAGGTTAGGCCGGGCGCGGTGGCTCAAGCCTGTAATCCCAGCACTTTGGGAGGCCGAGACGGGTGGATCACGAGGTCAGGAGATCGAGACCATCCTGGCTAACACGGTGAAACCCCGTCTCTACTAAAAATACAAAAAATTAGCTGGGCATAGTGGCAACACCTGTAGTCCCAGCTGCTCGGGAGGCTGAGGCGATAGAATGGCGTAAACCTGGGAGGCGGAACTTGCAGTGAGCTGAGATCCGGCCACTGCACTCCAGCCTGGGAGACAGAGCGAGACTCCATCCTCAAAAAAAAAAAAAATAGAGGTTGACTTAAAAGTTAGTAATGCCTCTGAAAATCATGGTTCAGAAGAAAAGAGGTAAGTCTATTGAAATAGAGATTTAATTTGCCTCTTTTATTATTAATTTCAGGACATTCAACTTGGAAAATGTCCATTTCTAAAGCATACATATAGAAAAATGCCCTTTGGGCCAGGCATAGTGGCTTACACCTGTAATCCCAGCACTTTGGGAGGCCGAGGCAGGTGGATCATTTGAGGTCAGGAGTTCAAGACCAGCCCGGCCAACATGGTGAAACCCTGTCTCTATTAAAAATACAAAAATTAGCCAGGCGTGCTGTGGGCACCTGTAATCCCAGCAATTCGGGAGGCTGAGGCAGGAGAATCACTTGAGCCCGGTAGGTGGAGGTTGCAGTGAGCACTACTGTATTCCAGCCTGGGCGACAGAGTGAAACTCAGTCTCAAAAAAAAGAAAAAAAAAAAAAAAAAGAGAGGACCAGGCGCGTGACTCAAGCCTGGTAATCCCAGCACTTTGGGAGGCCGAGACGGGCGGATCACGAGTCAGGAGATGGAGGACCATCCTGGCTAACACGGTGAAAACCCCGTCTCTTACTAAAATACAAAAAATTAGCTGGGCATAGTGGCAACACTGTAGGTCCCAGCTGCTCGGGAGGTGAGGCGATAAATGGCGTAAACCTGGGAGGCGGAACTTGCAGTGAGCTGAGATCCGGCCACTGCACTCCAGCCTGGGTGACAGAGCGGGGAGACTCGTCTCAAACAAAAAAAAAAGAAAAAGAAAAGAAACTAAAAAAACCATTTGTTCTTGAATTCTTATCCAGGGTTTCCATTGAGGATTATTTTTAACAATCAAAAATGTTGGTCACTTTTATTTAAAAGAATTTAGTTTCCAAATACATATTACACTTTGCTTAGTGATTATATTTGCACCCATTAATAGTACCTCACAAATGTCATTGATACTTTCAGAGAAAATCTTTCCAAAGACCCTCTTAAGAATCTCCTATTTCAGGCTGGGCGTGGTGGCTCATGCCTGTAATCCCAGCACTTTGGGAGGCCGAGGTGGGCGGATCACGAGGTCAGGAGATCAAGACCATCCTGGCTAACACGGTGAAACCCCGTCTCTACTAAAAGTACAAAAAATTAGCCGGGCGTGGTGGCGGGCGCCTGTAGTCCCAGCTACTCGGGAGGTTGAGACAGAAGAATGGTGTGAACCCAGGAGGTGGAGCTTGCAGTGAGCCGACATCGTGCCACTGCACTCTAGCCTGGGCAACAGTGCAAGACTCTGTCTCAAAAAAAAAAACCTCCTATTTCTAAAATGTTCATGTTTGATTCATTCAGATATGATTACAGCCCATCATGGTCTGTGTAAATGTTTGTTTCTGCATTCTTAGAAACTTTCTCCAGTTTTTGATAACATTGGATGTAGGAATACCAAGGAGTCTAACTAAAAAGAGGGGATCTTGGCTACAGTGAAATGCCTAGGGGTATGGGAAGTAAGTAACAGCCTTTATTTCCATATGAAAAATGCTGGAATTACACCTGCGATGATTAGGCAAGAGACCCAAAGATAGTTTTCTCAGAAAAGCTTTTCTTTCAAGGGTCTAGCAAGTCTGAGCTATGCTTCCAACTTTACTGCCCTCCATCATCCTGCATCTTTGACTCATCCACCACCTTCTGTCCCTTTCATTCTCATTCCCCATGTGTCAGCTCCCTGGAAAGGACATATCTTGTGCACCTTGCCACAGTACTCATTACCCGCTTCTGGACTGCCTGAGCAAGAGTGATACTTCCTATTCTAAAGACAGGAGTGAGGAGCGGGGATACTCAGACTTAGGGATGTGCCAGAACTGTGGCTAGTCCCCAGGGAGCAGAACTTGGAGGACTCATAAAGGAGCCAGCCCCACCTCCATCTCAAACAGGGCCAGTTCATAAACCCCATCTGGCACAGCAGCAATCTCAGGAAGCTAAACTGGGGAGTGCCCTGTATCTCACTCCCTAAATTGGGGAGTGAGAGCATCCCGATGGTCAGCTCCTGGGCTGTGACAGTGGTCCCCTCCAGATGAAAAGGGGGAGCTGTACTGATGTCAGTCAGGAGATGTGGCTCACAGTCATTATTAGAGTCAGGGCCTCTCCTGCCTACTTCAGGTACTTGGGTGAGGGCAGAGAGGGGGATAGAGAGAATCCTTAATCCTTCATTGGTAACATCCTGAGATCCTCCTAGAGTTCCAGACATCATACTTATCACGGGATTTGTTTGCCTTAATTTAGCCTCCCTGCCCTCTGGCCAGTGAGTTGCATTAAATAATTGTGCCCTCAGTATCAAGGAGTAGACAATGTAGACTATTTTTATGCAGCCCTGAGGATCCCCAGTCTTGGCTCTTGATAAGGTGAGGCATCTGGGTTGGGTGCTAAAGTATGAACCTTCTTCATCCTCCTTCCAGTAATGCCTATTTCAGCCCTGCCTAGCCAGCACCATCTTATAATTAGGTAGGATGACTGCAGATTGAAATCAAGCAGCTATTTCCTTTGGCTTTTCTGGCAGACACTGCCCACTGCCTCCAGTGCGTGCACTGTAGATGGTGGGCGGTCCCTATGGGTGGGTGCCAGGGGGAAAATTCCACCCCCTTCAGTAAGCAGAAGCAGGCAGAAGTCTGCTGGAAGCTGCAGGCCTCCCGCACTGACTTGCAATGTTCCTTGTGCTCCAGGTGCTGCTGTTTCTTTAAGAGGAAAAGGAAGAAGACTGCTCAGCGCCACAAGTGACCAGTGCCTCCCAGGAGTCCTCAGGCCCTGGGGACTCTGACTCAATTGTACCTGCAGCTCCTGCCATTTCTCATTGGAAGGGACTCCTCTTTGGGGGAGGGTGGATATCCAAACCAAAAAGAAGAAAACAGATGCCCCCAGAAGGAGCCAGTGTGGGCAGCCAGGGCCTAGTGGGTCATTGGCCATCCCCGCCTGCCTAAGGCTCTGAGCAGGTCCCAGAGCTGCTGTTCCTCCACTGCTTGCCCATAGGGCTGCCTGGTTGACTCTCCTTCCCATTGTTTACAGTGAAGGTGTCATTCACAAAAACTCAAGGACTACTATTCTCCTTCCTCCCCTTAGTTTACTCCTGGTTTTTACCCCACCCTCAACCCTCTCCAGCATAAAACCTAGTGAGCTAAAGACTTTATTTGCAGAAGGAGATCAAGAGGCTGGGGGTAAGGCCAAGAAGGTAGGAGGAAAATGGAGACCTGGGCTGGAGAAGAACCTTCTCCGTGTCCCAGGTGTGCCTGGCAGTATGGTTTCCTCTTCCTCTGTGCCTGTGCAGCATTCATCCCAGCTGGCCATGGGGTTCAGGTTCCTTCTTCCCTCCCTCCTGTGAAGTTACACTGTAGGACACAAGCTGTGAGCAATCTGCAGTCTACTGTCCCTGTGTGTTGGCGTTCTTAGCTTTTTTGACAAACTCTTTTTTCCAGGCGGTAGTAGGACAATGAAAATTGTTCTGAGCAAAGGAAAGAAAACTGACTTTGTTGCACTTTTAGTTTTTTTTTAAAAAAACAAAAACAAAAACATGGCAGATGCATATTGTGTCTGGTTATATTGGGAGTTTCACTTTTACCTGTTTTGAGGGGGATGGGGCCAGCCAAGCCATTCAGAGAGAACATGGGTCCAGAGGACATTCTCAGTGGAAAGAGTTTGATCTGCACCACCCAGAAGAGAAGCCAAACTCGGTGTCATTCTGAGTGAACACTCAGGTTGGCAAGAAAACATACTTGAATTTTCATTCATCTTCTCAGCAGCTGAAGAATGTCCCTACCAGAGCATCTTGACCTAATCAGCTTACAGTTTGAAAACCTAGCTCTCCAGCACATGAGATGAGCCAGCCGAACCAGACTGTGACCAGGAAACAGCTCATCCCAGAGAAGGAGATGCTTAACAACAAAAAAAAAATAATAATGAAATTGTTTCTTCTGCTGCCAGGGACTTCCAACTAGATAGCCATGTGATTTCCTGGTGACTTGGGGGACAAATTAGTGATGAAACAGCCACCACCATATTGCCATTAGTGGAAAAAAAGAGGAGGACAGTGAACCTACCTTCCACCTGCCAGAGGGACCTCGGGGTGTGGCATTATAGGGCCAGGAAAAGAAAATCAGTGTATCCTATCTCCTCCAATAGCTGAGCTGTAGCATTTGGGCTGGCCTGCCTTATCAGAAACCAAGCTTATGAAGATCTTCTCCCAGCAGGTCCATAGCAGTAAGCTTAGGATGCGGTATATGGGGCTGCATTTAAAAGGAGGGAAAGATTGATTGGTGCTGGAATATTCCAGGGAAAAGGAAACTGGAGTGAAAGGTCTGAAATTATCTTCTCAACTGGACATAGACTCCTTCCAGAAAGGTGGCCATGCCTCTAAGCATGTTTTCCCCAGTATGCCCTCGGCCTCCCCCCGTGGTGTTTTCATAGGAGGTACTACTGTGAAGGATCTTGGTTCCTCATTCACTGTTTGACAAGTCTTTCATGTGGGAAGTTACTCTTCTCATACCCAATTTTCATTTGAGTTTAGTAGCTTAACCAAACAATGACTGCCCATTCCAGAGGTGACAGAAGAGAAAGGGTCATTTACATCAGGAAAGACGTCTTATATCTGGGAGTAGAGAGCCAACCATGGAGCACAGTGGCTGGTGGGTGACTTAGTCTGATGGTTTGTGGAGCATAGAAGTCTTCGCCTCTAGCTTGAGGTGTAGGGCTATCTTTTGGACTGGAGGGTGTGGGGATATTTTCTGGTAGTTGCCATTTCTTGAAAAATTCCCTTGATGTACCTTGCACAGAGCAGAAATAGCATTAACAGTATCAGAGGTACTGGGCTTCATCTGTTCCGTTGGATCTTGGCTAGGGAATATCATTTCACTTGCATCAAACCTGCTTAGCTTATGGAAAGATGGTAATATGTCATTTCTATAAATGTTTCTATATATGGAACATAGAGTGGCAGGGAGATGCCGTATCACACCCCTTCCCCACAAGGACTGTGAATATTGGGATTTATGTCCTTGCCATTACCTAGTGGTTACAGCCATGTCACTAAGATTTACATCATTTCTCAGTTGGGATTTCGGCAATGCTAACTTACTGTATAGAAAGTTTAACTTTTCCTCACCCCTGTATAGAAAATGCCTTGCCTCTCAAGAGAGGGCAGAAGGGGGCCAGGCGCAGTGGCTCATGCCTGTAATCCCAGCGCTTTGGGAGGCCGAGGTGAGTGGATCACATGAAGTCAGGAGTTCGAGACCAGCCTGGCCAACGTGGTGAAACCCCATCTCTACAAAAAATACAAAAATTAGTCGGGCGTGGTGGCATGCACCCGTAGTCCCAGCTACTCGGGAGGCTGAGGGAGGAGAATCACTTGAGCCTGGGAGGCAGAAGTTGCAGTGAGCCAAGATCACGCCACTGCACTCCAGCCTGGGCAACAGAGTGAGACTCTGTCTTAAAAATAAAAAGAAAAAAGAAAAGGGCAGAGGGAAATGTTGGCAATGCCTGGAGCATCCTGGCACTCTATACCCTACTGAGTGCCTCCCTTCAGCCCCTCACCCTGCTTCCACACACACAAAAGCAAAGGCAGTGACCAGCTTGGCTTAAGGCAAGCTTCCTTGCAGCTGGATTTGCGACTTTTTTTTTTTTTTGCCTTAAAATTTTTACTGGATCAGTTGTAGGGGAGTGTCTTTCCTAATATACTGTTCTCACCTTCCAACCTCCACAAATCTCTTACTAGATACTTGGTTTTCATAGCAAAGGTAAAGAATCCCAGGTCCCTTTAGCATGCAGGGTAATGGTGATCCCTCTAGGGCCACTGGCACTTCAAAGTGGTCCCAGACCTGGGAGATTCTGATGTGATCTTCCTTACAATTAAGCAAAAAACCTGAGTACCCTAGATGCAATTGGCCATCGCTTCAGCCCTCAACACATCAGGGCTCCCTCCTCGGCCCTATTGCTACAGTTGCTTAGCTGTATGCTTCAGTGAGATCCTTGGGGTTAGGGCATGCACTCGCTGACTGTCCCCACCCATCCACTTGCTCTGTAGTTTCTGAGCTTTCTCCATTTCACAACTATGGTGCCTCAGGATCTTTTTATTTGGGATTGATGCAGTTGTTTTTCCTGAAAACTAACTCAGCATCTGTTCATAAAAACCCTTAATATTATACATTAGGAGTTTTCCCAAGCTCTGCAGTCCCTCAGACATTGCATCCTAAACAGATTGAGGCACACAGGCCAAGACTCCACCAAGGCATAAATGGTCTCCCCTACTCCCTTTTGACCAGGGTATCACTTGTGTCTTTGCAGTAAGAGTTGGTCAAGTTGCTCTATGCACCTTGGCGCTTTCCCCAGATCTCACTCCAGACTGCCCCCAAGGGTGGAGAGAGCATCCTGACAGCCAGTTAGCACTCATGACTGCCTTAACATTCTTCTGCTATTATGGGGCCTGTCTGGCAATAAACAGGGTCTAGGAAGGTACAAGGTTAGCTTCCAGTTAAAATCCCATTTTACATTGGAATGCATGAGCTACAGATGACAGCAGAGATCCTGAGGTTTCTAGAAGTGTTGATTGTTTCTTTTTTCTAAATGAACTCCAAGTACTTAGAAAACAATCCCTGCCTATTAGCCAGTAAAGGTGACCATCACCCCTAAAGTAATTTCCAAACTTAGTGCAGTGGAAAGATATGCTGGTAGTGCATATTCAGTGTTGATTTTCAGTGCTAGTAACCACTTTCAGTGCCAGAAATACGTAACAATGATAATGTAATGTCAAAGTGGTTACTAAAGATTATAGCCTTGGCCGGGCGCGGTGGCTCACGCCTGTAATCCCAGCACTTTGGGAGGCCGAGGCGGACGGATCACGAGGTCAGGAGATCGAGATCATCTTGGCTAACACATTGAAACCCCAAAACCCTGTCTCTACTAAAAATACAAAAAAAAAAAAAAAAAAATAGCTGGGCGTGGTGGCAGGCTCAGGAGGCTGAGGCAGGAGAATGGCGTGAACCCGGGAGGCGGAGCTTGCGAGCTGAGATCTCGCCACTGCACTCTAGCCTGGGTGACAAAGCAAGACTCCGTCTGAAAAAAAAAAAAAAAAAAGATTATAGCCTTAACTTTTTTATGTAAAAGATAAAATCCATTCCTCCTCCCAGTGAGCAAGCATGGCTTGCATTTCTCAAAAATGAGAACTTCCATGGCAGCCAAGAAAACGTCTTCTCAGAGGAACTTTTGTTTGATGCATCTCCCAAGCCCACATGCCTCCTGTGTCCCAGCCACCTCTTCCATTTTCACATTTAAACCAGCTCTCCATTCCCATTGAGTTGCCCTAACAACATTGTCTCCAGTGTCAGAACCGTATTAGGGTTCATTTCTCAGATTGGGAGCCTGCAACACCATACAGCCAACATTGCCTTTGCCACGCCACTGCCACCATCCCCAGTATTGCCCTATCGTGGGCAGATGAATTCTAGAAACCCTCAGGGAGCCAGGGCAATTAGGCACCCCATCTGAATTGACCACGTGAGTGACAGGCACTTATCTCTCGGGTTCTTGCTTTTGCAGACTGCAGGGAAGTCCTATCTAGAGGTCGATGGCAGAGACTCCTAGTCTTTCCCATGAGGGGTTGACAGGAATCAAATAGGGATTCCTTTGGCTTGGGGTTTTGGTGTTTTTTGTTTTTTTCAATTTGTTTTTTGGTGTCTGGGGGGTGATTTTGTTTCTGAATAAGAAAAAGAAGAGGCAACCATGACCCTTAACGTGGGTTTATAAAGTTTTGAGCAGTGTTTTAGCCACAAGTAAGGAATCTTGAAAGTCTTTTATCCAGCAAGCAGTCTTAAAAATGTTTTTCCTAACTGCTTTTGCAGGTGACTAAGTACAAAAAAAAAAATAGGTTTCTCATTGTATTCGAAATAGTGAGTAGGTTCCCTGGATAATACACAATGGTAGTTGGCATGTTCTCAAAACACAACCAGAAAACCCACTTCCAGTATTTGTAAATCACCTTTCAAAGGAAGAAGTGAACATGTATTCCATGTATTTCTAGTTTGATTACCAAACTTGATGTTACAAAGAAACCTCAGTTCTGTAGACAGAATTTCTTTTATTTTTCTTCTTTTACTCCTCACAATCACTTTCCCGGTGCCATCACCACCTTTAAGGTCTCACAGCAGAGCATTATTCACGGTAATAAGTGGGGGTGCGGTGCAGCCATTCCAGTAACACCCACAAGAGGGCAGCTGTTCTGAATGTCTCCACCCACCCTCCTTTCAGTACAGGTGAAACATTTTCAGTTCATGAGCTCCAGACCAAATCCCAGGCCGGCCCTTGCACCAAAAGCCTTTTTTAGAAGGCTTATCAGTCTATTAGGAATGTCTCAGGAAAGATGAGCCATTTCTTTGGGGAGAAATATATTTACAGATGGAAGAGTGTGATTGCGTGTCTGTGTGTGTGTGGTGTGTGTGCGCACGTTGAGTGCGTGCGTTCATCTATGTGCATTTCACTTCCATAAAGATCCAGCCCAAGCTGCTCGGAACCATGTGTTCCTGAGTATTCTCAGAGGTAAACAAGTGACAAGTGAGCTTCTGAAATTAGTGTCTCAGCAAGCTGGCTTTAGGAATGAGCCCTATTTATCAAGCAGAGAAAAATAACAGCAGAAAAGATAAAGATAAACCAAAAATATATACCCCCAATGGAAAATAATGTTGATTCAGCAATTCCCATCGGATGTATTACATGCTCTAATTTATTATATTATTATTTGTCTGTCTTTGATCTTTGCCCATTGTACTCTTAAAAAGATGTTGGGATGTTGATTGCGATTTTTAAACAACTTGATAATGTATAAATCAGCTGTGGAAATCAGTTTTAATGTGTGGATGTGTCTGATTATTGTTAAATGCCTCTTTTTTTACTTTTTTTTTTTTAGATGTATAATGTTTCATAAACCCTGGCACTGGTCACAAAGCTCAGCTGTGAAAATGAAATTTGTAGTATTTTTAAACATGAATGTCAATTTCAAGTGTATTTGAAATGGTTCCTGCAGGAGAGATACTTGTGCACCATTAGGAAAATCTTCTCTGCAGAGGAAGTAGCCTTTGGAGAAAATGGAAAATGGGTTCTGATATGTTATCTCAGAGTAGCCCATTTCCTAGGGCACCATGGAAAACACAAATGTGATATTTAAGTATACCTCTTCCCCAGTTTGGGGAGGAAAGGACTCAGTTTGCACCCTTTTTGTATGTAAAATAAAATGTCTTACCTTTCTTGGCTACTTCTGCTTGTTTGGTTGGTTGATTGGTTTGTCTGGTTTTTTTTGTTTTGTTTTGTTTTGTTTTGTTTTTTGAGACAGAGTCTCACTCAGTCACCCAGGCTGGAGTGCAGTGGCGTGACCTCGGCTCACTGCAAGCTCCATCTCCTGGGTTCATGCCATTCTCCTGCCTCAGCCTCCCAAGTAGCTGGGACTACAGGCGCCCGCCACCACGCCCGGCTAATTTTTTGCATTTTTAGTAGAGACAGGGTTTCACCGTGTTAGCCAGGATGGTCTCGATCTCCTGATCTCGTGATCCGCCCACCTCAGCCTCCCAAAGTGTTGGGATTACAGGCGTGAGCCACCGCGCCCGGCCTGGTTTGTCTGTTTTTAATCTCCCTCGGCTCATTTGTAATTAACAATCTAGCTAGGACTCACTTTGATGCGATTCAAGTCTCCTGTGAACAAAAATAAATACCTGATAATTTGGCTTCTTGTTTCATTCCTTGGACTAAACATTGTCTTCTCCCTTGAGTCACTTCAAAAATAAATATTGCTGTATCCTGAAGAAGAAAATTATTTTTTAATTAAAAAAAATATATTGGCCGGGCACGGTGGCTCACGCCTGTAATCCCAGCACTCTGGGAGGCCAAGGCGGGTGGATCACTTGAGGTCAAGAGTTCGAGACCAGCCTGGCCAACATGGTGAAACCCTGTCTACTAAAAATGCAAAAATTAGTTGGGCATGGTGGTGCACACCTATAATCCCAGCTACTCAGGAGGCTGAGGCGGGCCAATTGCTTGAACCAGGGAGGTGCAGTTTGTGGTGAGTCAAGATCGCACCACTGCACTCCAGCATGGGCATGAGAGCAAGACTCCGTCTCAAATAAATATTCCTGGAAGAATTTGGACATTATCACTCACATGTTAGTTCCTGTGTCCCTGTTGTTCTCAGGTGGTAGAACACAGGAAATCAGGATCTGTTCTGTGGCACAACTTTTAGTAACTTTGTAATTCTGCTCTACAAATGCGGAATATGTGTCCAGACAGAAGATAGAACTGTGATGAGCAATGTAAAACCATACTGCATGTGTAGCCAACAGAACAACTGTCAATCTGGGCATGATTGACTCCTTCCAGTTTGTTACTGCTCTTTAATTACTTTTTCACAGGCAAGTAGCCGAAGAATCATGAGAGAAAAGTTTCAAGTTTG